CCAGGTTCATAGTTTGAAAGAATTAATATTGTTAAAATCTTCCATGCTACCCAAAACAATCTACAGATTCAATGCAATCCCTATCAAAATACCAATGACATTCTTCACAGACATATAAAAAACAATTCCAAAATTCATATGGAAGCACAAAATAGCCAAAGCTCCAAACAGCCAAAGCAATCTTCAGCAAAAAGAGCAAAACTGGAGGGCTCATACACCTGACTTCAAAATATCCTGTATAGATGGCAACAGGACAGGTCAGACTGTGAGAATCTCCACAAAAGCGAGTGTCCATAAAGACTCTGTGTGAGTAGGTGTGTGCCAGTGGGTGAGTGAAAGTCCTTCTGAGGGGAAACTCGGGTTCATGCACCTGGGGCTCTCCTCCAGAGGTGACTGCAATCCCCCACCACCCTGAGATTGAAGCCACCGGCACACAGGATCCTCTGCTGTTTTCGGGACTCTCTGAGAAAAGCCTGCCAAATATAGCTGATTCTCATCACCTGGCACCTGCCCCTCACCATCACCTTCCAGCTAAAACAGCTATTATCAAAAAGACACAAAATAACAGATGCCAGCAAATATGTAGATAAAGGGGAATGCTCCTATACTGTTACTGGAAATGTAAGTTACTATAGTCATTGTAAAAAGCAGCATGGAAGTTTCTCAGAAAACTAAAAATAGAACTAACCTATGATTCAGCAATTCCACTGCTGGGATAGACCCAAAAGAAAGGAAATGAGCATATTGAAGAGATATGCACTATCATGTTTATTGTAACACTCTAGCCAAGATACAGAATCAGCCCAAGTGCCCATCCCTGCAAAAGTAAAGACAACGTTATAAACTGACACAGTGGAATATTATTTAGCTATTAAAAAAATGAAGTCCTGTAATATGCAGTAACATTGGTGGAACTGGGGGTTATTATATTAAGTGATATAAGCCAACTGCAGAAAGACAAATACCGTTAAGTTCTGTCTTTTTTTTTAAGTTTTCAAAGTTAATTTTTTTTACAGCAGAGCATCGAAAAATTACGATGTGCCAAATATAAGAATGCTTTATTTTTTTTTAACTGTAAAGAACTTTCTTTTAAA